TTTTTTTTTTTTTTTTTTTTTGGTAAATCAGGAGTAAGTCACAAGAAAATATGCGTAGCCTGATATCATTTTTTGAAAAGCTGTGGTAAGCATAGCCATTTTTTCAAAACAATGTAAAGCATATGCCTCTGGACACTAAGCTTGGAAACCCATATTAAATCATATCACATGACCTGCTAAATTTGGCTACTTAGGTTGGTAAAGAATATTACAAATATATGATGGTACAATGATAAATAGACAAAATATCAGAATGCAGGTTTCCAATATCATCAATTACCTATTTGATCTTGATTTTTTTTAATGACTCAATTTCTTCCCCAGAAAAGAAATAGAAAAAACAATGGCCAGCTACATTCCACAGATTTTACATAAACACTCCAGTAAGTTTTAAAGTATTGTTATCTTATCAGAAGAAGGACTCCTTTTGGAGTCAAGGAATTCTTGATATTAAAAAGCAGCACAGCGTAAAATACAAAGAAGAATTCTCAAAGAGAAAGGTGCTGCATAAATTATTGTTTAGAAAAAGATATATTAGGAAGGCTTACAAGGTAGACTATAGAGACACCATCTGTTAAATACATATTGTTCCAATTTTTCCAAGAACACTTTCAATCCACTCAATTAAGTAAAGAACAGTCCTAGTGGACCAATAAACAGACTTTTCAGTAGAGATGACAAAAAGTGTTTGAAAATGAAGTTGCATACTTCTCATTTCTAACATCAGAGCATCCCTAAAGTTAGAGACGTTTTATTCATTTACATAATTCGTAAGATGGTAAAGAAGAACAATGTTATTTTTTGCTTCTGCTCAAAAGGTGAAATTTATTATTGGAAATTCAGCAAATGGTGGAACATCTGCTTTGCCAGCTCAGTCCCTTGATTCTTACTTTTTGACTGGGTTTTTTGCTTCTTTGAAATGTCCTAAAACAACAATAGCACCTCCATTTTCAGACCTTTATCAAGCAGTCATTTGGGTTAAAAAAAAGTTAAATAGACAATGAATAAATTCTCCCATCTGTGCAGGAATAGCATGTTCTCTTTCTTGTATGTTACTCATTTACTGAATGCCAATTTTCAAGTAGATGCAGATTTAACATAGTTTCTCTTTATGCTATTACTATTTTTATAGTGCTTTTTGCCATGGTTCCTATACACTGTCAAAAACCTTGAAAAACAAACAAGAGAAGGCCTCATTTGTCATTGTTTTAATTATTGGTGGGCAACATTAAGCATGTGAAATTAGCAGGCAGATTATGAAAAGCCCATCATTTTTTGGACATTATTATTTTATAATATTCTGCATATTTTGTTCTCACTTTGAGAATCATGATTCCAGTTAGAATCAAATTTGAAAATGCATATCATCCTAACCTGTTCGTAGCATGCAAAAGCTCTTATCCATTAACAATGCTGTATTGCAAATTTGAAAGTTGCTGAGAGAGTAGATTTTAAAAGCTATCACAAGAAAAAAAAAACTGTAACTGTGAGGTGATGGATGTTAATTAGATACATACAAATGCTGAATCATTATGTTGTGCACCTGAAAATAATAAAACGTTGTATGTCAGTTATCTCTCATTTAAAAAAGAAAACAACTCTAGTCTTGATTCTATCCCATTTGACACCACAGAGGGGCACAGAAGGAATCTGAGGAGGCGTTGTAAGTTGATACATTCAATTTGCTATGAACATTTCTGTGGTCCGGCTTTGTGCTTGAGATTGACCATGCCGTGGTGCATAAGATATGGCATCACTATCCTTAATTCATTTGCTTTCAGCTGGGGGAGAAAAGAAGTACAGATGATTATAATACAGTGTGAAGAGAGGCTTTGAGAGAATTATGTATAAGGTGTCGTGAGGATTTCAGGGAAGGTTTCATGGAAGAGGGGGGACTTGAGTGGACCCTTAAAGAAAGAAAAGGGGAAAGGGCTGCCCGTCCAGAGAGGCAAAGACAAGAAAAAGCATGGCCTATTGAGGGGAAGGTTATGGTTGAATAATACTGGAACACAGGCATCATTAGATAGAAGCAGGAGATGTGGCCAGAAAAGTAGGCATGAGCAAGAACCAGCGAGGGCATTGTGCCCTCTGTGGAGCTTGGACTTGATGCACTAGGTGTTGGAAGCTAATGAAATGAGTGCGAAACATGACGCGGTCTATTTTTACATTTTATAAAAATCCTTCCAGAAGAAGTCTGGATTGGAAGAGGAATTGACTGGAGATAGGGAAATCAGGTGGTATATCAACTTTAAAAAAGAATGGAAGGATGA